TTTTTTTTTTATTTCAAAAGATAGCCTAAAGTACATTTATCATACACCAGAAGATTTAAAATGGCATCTGCATTAGTTTAGAAGATTTTCATTTGAAATTTTAGTTTTTCAATGAGAATATATGCTAGAACTGATTCTTTTTACAAGGCCTTCGCTTGTTGGAATAAAAGCATGCAACTTTTTAGTTTCTAGATTGGTAATTGCAGAATCGATCCAAGATTGCAAAAAAGTCCTTTGACATTGAATATTGTCTTTGGTGCAGTAGTAAATGACTGTCTGTTTTAAAGATGATTTTGCCCATTCGTATAATCGCATTGATGTAAAAATTGCTTTACTTGCAGGTATATGTAACTGTAGGCTTGCACGCGTTGCTAAATGTTTGAGGTTCCCTCCAAGACCATCGCATGGTCCTTTTCCATGAGACATTGCGTGAAAATGTATCTCTGCATCTGCATTCAAATCTTATTGGCGCTAGTAGTCGCGTTTCATTACCTATCACAAAATTTGTTTTTTACTACTGCTTGTTACTAATATTTTTGGTCAATTTGTACTATTTTATTAATTGAATAATACTTACCCCACATCATTGTTAGAGCTTAAATACGCTTTAATAGGATAATACATGAAAAAAATTTATTTTTCCAATTTCATTTTATAATTAAGAAGAACAGCAAATTTTCTATATATGTCGCCATATTTAATATTATAAAATAAATTTATTTAATTAGAAAAACTATTTCCGAAAAATACGAATTTCAATTACGGCAATACTTTAGAAGCCCATACCTTAACAAATACGCATCATATAAAAAAATTTTGTGTTCACTTTTATACTTACCAGAAGTACAATTAAGTATGAAAAAATTTCAGAACGTCGCTTTTTTTTTCGCTGTCCGCTTCACGTGAAATGTGCCACCTATTCTTTTCGTTCTAAGAAAATTGCAATTTCTGCCGGACGTTAAAAAATTTTATGAATGAATGAAATCCAGTACAGCATTCGTTATACCTATATAGGATTTAAAGCCATACTGATTGTTTTATGATTTTTGACATTTTTTTCCTATAATTTGTTAACCTAACTCTTGATGATCGTTTAAAAATTTGTACGATACCGTTTACAACTGACAAACTCATAATTTGTTAGTTTATCATCAGATGCGACATATTTAACCATATAAGTCACGAAGTATCTTATATGGTTAAGAATACTGGCTGCCATTTTTTAAATTTATATTAAAATAGTCTTCTCTTACCTCCTTTCCTCATCTTCCGACTTTATGTCGATACTTTCAGCTTTGATCGACATTTCCATCTCCTTAATTTCAAATTCCTTGTCCAGGTTTTCAGTTTTAACAAATAAATCAAGAGGAGACGTATCTATTTGGCTTTCTGTGACTGAACTATCAAAAATACTTTTAATTTTTTCTTCTACCTCTAAGCAGTCTTTAAGGAAACTGTTGTGAGTACACAGAGAATCAAAGCATGGTTTACAAATGACGGGATCTCTGATGATATCTATTAACTACAAAGCAGTTTTGTTAAATTACAAAATACGCAAGTATTTAATATCATTGATACCATTTCAGGAGCCATCTTCTCAATAGCTTCAAGTTCCACTTCACGTATGCACTTAAACTCACTTTCTACTGGGAGCATACACAATCGACATATTTTCTGACTGGAAACTAATTCACTTTTCTTTTCCTGCATGTACACTTGTCTTAAATCCAGTTGTAACATTTTTTCACTATCCACATAAGGAATAATTGTGTTATCGGTATTCAGACATGTTGACTTAAATTCTAACTCGGCATTTAACTTTCTTCTGCAAACGTTACATATAACCTCTTTGCTCTCGCTATGAAATTTCTGAAAAATTTGCAACTTTAAACAGAGAGAAGTGTAGCAGAAAATAACAGTTAAATCCTAAAAGTTGCTTTACACTTGAGACTGTTAAGACGTAATGTAATCATATTTCAGTGACTTACCAATTTCAGCAAAAGAACATCTAAAGTATCTCTGATAATGTTGT